AATCTCTTTTCAATGTTTTCTGTACTTATTTGTAGTTTTTGAATTTGTAGCATAATTATTTGCAATGTTAATTCTTTTTCTTCTTTGTGCAATTTTCCAAGTTATAAACACTGCTATTAAGACATCTAAGGCTTTTTGCTAGGCTTCAAACAGATTCACTGTAAACTTTCAAGTCAAGGCTTTCTCTTTACTCCAGTCTAGCTACTGATAGTACTCCAAAAGAGCAAACCGTGATCTTCCCACTGTACCATTCAATAAACAAAGTCAAAAGCCTTGAGATATAAGATGTTTCCAAGCCTCCAGCCTCTAGGTGGTAGTATTACTTCTTTTTCCTCTGTTTTTACCCTTCTCTTTAATGTCTGAAGTTGAGAAAAGAAAAAAAATGCTTAAAAGGTATGATCCAGCCGAGTGTTGAAAAGAAAGAGATTCTTGATCCACAATACAAAAAATGGGGAAAAATAGAAGAAGAAGGGGGGGGGGAGAGACCAGTCCAATTTAAAAAGTAAGAGGCATTTGTAAAAATTCCATCCATTAAAAAAACGAAATTAAAAAAAAGAAAGATAACACACTGATTTTAATCCAGGCTTAATTCGGCGCTTGCTTTCTTCTGTCTTCAATTTTAATTTTACTCTAAATCTTTTTGGGTATTCTCTTCTCTAATTTAAAATTTATCTCACCATTTCGACACACTCTCTCTTCTGCTTTTCTTCCATTCAGGGGCTGTCCTGACCTTGTGCAGCTTCAATGGCTGCTTCTCTTTCGCTGGAAAAAAGGGCTTCTCCTGGATCAATCAGGGACTTTGTGATGTCCCTGAGATCAGCAGGACATGCCCTTCTCCATCGCCATCTCTATGGGATGGTTTAGGTCCAAAAGGACCGTCCAGCAGCAGAGATATCAACAGCAGTCCTGGAGCTCCAAGATTGCATGTTATGTCATCACGACGTCAATCCCCGCCTTCCTTCATTTTGTCTTTTTGCTTCTGCGCATGTGCAGAACAATTTTTATTGCACTGCACAAGCACACACAGTGTGCATCAAGTGTGGCGCACACATGAGCAAACCGGCAATAGTGCCTGTCAGAACTCACCCCTACATACTTACTCCAGTGTTTTCAGTCTAAAGGATTTAATATTTTCCAGAATTATCTTCCAATATCTGTCAGAGAAGAGGGGGTTGACTTACTCTTCAAAATAATTGAGGGCAGGACAAGGAGTAATGGATGGAAAATTATGAAAGAGAGATGCAACCAAGAATTAAGGAAACATTTCCCAAGTGAGAACAATCAGTGGAATGGCTTGCCTCCAGATATCATGGGTGCTCCATCGCTGGAAGTTTTCAAGAAGAGATTGGATAGTCTTTTGTCTGGAACAGTATAGGGTCTCTTGCTCAAGCAGTGGGCTGAACTAGAAGATCTCCAAGGTCCCCTCCAACTCTATTATTCTGTATTCTAAATATATTGCATGTGATTGCAATAAGCCAATAGGCTTACTAATAGAACTGTCTTTCTACTGAGTAAAGGATTATACAAATTATTGTCTAATAGAGAAATATAATGCTGGAATTAGGATTAGAGTTTTATATCAAATAAAAATATGTAATTGTATAATTCCTTAATTTTCTTGATAAAGTATTTTAAATACTTAAAACATTTAAGTATTTTAAACTTTGGATACGTATAGGTTCAGTTGCAGTGGAAGGAAATTTTCTTAAATATTATTAACAATAGCTTCAACTATGCAGAAAATTTGGGATCATTTACTTGTATATCCTGTTTCCCCCCAAAATAAGACAGGGAGTTATTTTGATCTCCAAAAGAAGCGCTTGGCCTTATTTTTGGGAAGGTATTATTTTTGAGGTGCAGGAGACGGTGAGCATCGTCATCTCATGGCTACTACATGTTGCAATATTTTCAGGAAGGGCTTATTTTAAGGAAGGGCCTATTTTAGCGCATGCGCTCAAAAGCCCAATTGGGCTTATTATCTGGGGAGGTCTTATTTTCAGAGAAACAGCATTTGTGGATTTTCTATGCATGTATTTCATACAGTCTGATTTGCACCTTCTACCAAATACATAGACAATCGAATTACAGGTATTATACAGGTTGCGTATTATACAGTTTTTCATTGAAGCTCAAGTGTATTTGCTGTATAAGATTTTGGAATATAAGGATTAAGTATCATAAGGAGAATAATGAGTTCATACTTACAATAATATTGAATTCTTTCTCTTTCACTCACCCCCAACCTTTTACAGGATGCATTACAGATTATAGGGTAAGTACTCTTTTCCCTGCAAGAATAATATTCTACATTCTACAATTGCCAAAGTAAAACAAAAGGACTGGATACAATCAAAACTTCGCTCTTCAGGTATTGGAAAGACTAGAGAAAAGATGCCTGAGACAAGAACACAGTTGTGAACACAGTTTGTCTGGGTTCTCTGTACCCTGCCTGTGCCATAGCTCCTTCCTTTGTGTCCTACACAATTTCAGCTTGACAGAGCATCTGCTCTTTCAGATTCTTGATTCTTCCTTATTATTTTAACTTTTTTAAAAAAGAAATCTGACAATGTTTAATCTATTACTCCTCTTGATGACAATTCCATTCTGAATAAAAGTCATTTGTGTTTTATCTCCAGCACTGGCAGATTCCTTTAGGTAGAAGATTCCGTTCTTTGAAAATGTGGTTTGTATTCCGAATGTATGGTGTCAGTGGATTACAAGAATACATCCGCAAGGTGAACATATTTTGTTTTACCACTAAAAACTCAGAAAGAAATGGGGCAGGAAGAAAAATTGCTTAGTTCACATATTATCTAAAATTAGTTTAATGCAGACTCCAAATGTAATATGTCCATCAAAAACAGTTATATGCTGATATTTATAGTTCTGAATTTTGAGATGCAATTTTATAAACATGCATACAAAGATGCGCTGCTTGTGGAAAAATACAGATAGTCCTCAACTTACAATCAGTCACTTGAAAGTTATGACAGACTCTGAAAAGCTACATATGACTCAGTCCTGAGGTTACAGCTACTGCAGCCTACCCATCTTCATTTCTCCTTATGACTGATGGCAGGGATGCTGCAGCACCTTCCCAACCTATATTCCCCCCTACATTGTATTCCTGCAAGCATCCCCCCCACCAAAAGTTCCCTGCTGGTCTTAGGACTGATATTCACTACACAAGCTCCACATGCTCCTCTTCACTTAACTTTTGAAAAGTTCTGAAGCCTTTCATAGTGGTTGAATGGGTTACTTTGTAATTTGTGTGCATGACACAATTCTGAAATCACATTGTATGGTCCAGGGACAAACCTGGGGCTTGGACATTTCCAAAAGACTGTATAGACTATGTTAGCAATACATAAAGGATTGCTTTGTGCCTTGACTGCATGGTGCAATTCTGGAAGCAGCCGCCACGTTACCTGTGGCTGAATTGCAATTTGGTACTTGTAAATATTGCCACCACTTCCAGAATCATGCCATATAGCCACAGGACAAAGCAGTCCATTCCAGCATTCTGGAAGGCCTTGGAGCTTTTTAGAAAGCAATCAGAAAGGGAGCTGAAAGAGATGAAAATTGGGATGAAAATTTGACCTAAGGCTTGGGGATATCTGATTGGACAGGAAAAAAGGCTTGTGGGGACCCAAGGGGCAGGAAGTGAAGAATGGGGTGTCTTGAATGGGGGGGAGGCCTAGGGAAGGCCAGGAGATGGTTAGGGATTAGGGTTAGATTAGATCAGTTAACCCTAATTCTTCCCCATCCCTGGGGCACACTGTGCTGCACTTAATGATGTGCACATTCATTTAACAATTGCATTGGGGAAAGCAGAGATAGGAGAATTATTAAGTAAGATGCTTAATGGCCATCATGACGTTAAAGGGTAGATTCCATTGTGATTGTATCTCTAGGATACTGAGATGTACTGTATTCATGAATACAATATACAAATGCGTTGAAATATATTTCATATACATAAAATACATATACAATTATTTATAAAGGTATGGTCCTCTTAAGTAAAATTGCTTTATCCATATTTTATCCAAAGGATTGTCCAAGTCCAGATCAAGGTTCCAAAGAGATAAAGCCCAATATAGACTAAAAGAACTGTCATGGAAATTATTCAACCAATATAGTCAGATGGAATTTTAAATGCTGGAAGTCAAGTTGGTATATGTCAGTTTGGAATGCAGAAAGGGACTGTGCATGGAGTGTGACATACTTCCATGTAGCAATAGCAATAACATTTAGAGTTACATACCACTTCATAGTGCTTTACAGCCCTCTCTGAATGGTTTAGAGTCAGCATCCTCCTTTTATGGACTTTGGAAGGATGGAAGGCGAAGTCAACCTTGAACTGATCAGGACTGAATTATTGGCAGTCAGCATAATTAGTCTGCAATACTGTATTCTAGCCACTGTGCCACCACAGCTCATGTAGCCAGATCTGTCCAAGGACATCGCCATGCAGTCACCATCCAAAATTCTTTATCCAATGGTTTTCCAACTCATAGAGACATGACTCAGGCTGGGCAGCAGCTGAGAATTAGGAGCACTGGGGTCAGGTTCTTCTTGTCAGATCTGTTTGCTGTTTCTTCTGGTTTCTCTTCTGCCTCATTGATTGATGATTTATATGCCAAAAACAGAACAGCATGGTTGAAGTATTATTTAGTCCCATGAGAATTATATAACTATTGCATATGCTTTCAATGAAGCAAGTTTGTATTCTGTAACCAGTCGAGCTATAATACAGCCACTAAACCTCAGCAAAAAATCAATCTTCCTGTTTTATGTAATGCTTTTGTGTCTAGATATAGTAGCCCCAAAAATACAGTATACAAACTGTTGGGCTTCATTGTTTTAAGACAGGAAAAGTAAAATCTGCTCTTCTCTAACTCTCTGACACCATGGGTGTTGTCCATGATTTTTTGAACACATAGAAAGGGACTTTTAAGGTCTTGTTTTGGAAAGTTAGATGCACTTAAAAGTTACCTTGATTTGCTATTCCTTCCTTTTGCCAATTGTTCTGAATTGTTTTAACAGTTCCCTTTTGGAGAAAAGATGAAGTAAAATTAGCACTGAAACACTCTGTTCTCTACCTATATTCTTTTTCTTGCATAATTTCCACTCCTTATTTTTTCTTTTATTATTAGAATAATAATATAGATCTCTTTTAGTTGTGTTAGGTTTGCTTCTTTTGGTCTTTCTAATATTCTTCTTGCAAAAGTAGCAGTCTGCCTACTTTTTCAGACTTCATTAGAAATTCTTGTTCCATTTTCTACACTTGCTGTTTTTATCTTTTTGGTTAGTTAAAATGTTTCTGGGCATTTTACAGGTTTCCTAAACTGGCCCTTCTTTTTCTTCCTCATGGGAATGGTATGCAAATATATTTCCAGTATCATATTTTTTAGACATACCCAACCCTTCTAAAGTCCATTTCAAACCAATATTTATATATTTTATTCATAATTATAAAACAATAGTTGTTTTAAATAGCAGTTATATACATGTATTTATTTATATATGACCTTTCTTTATGCAGTATATGAACATTGTATCGTCCTATATCTATATAGTATTGTATATCTTCAGTTCTCATCCTGTGTTGCAGTATAAATCTTCAAAGCTTTGGCGCCCTCCCCTGACTTTATTAAATACTGCTCATTATAATTGATTGTACTATATTTTAAAAATTCAGTGCAATTAACTTTCAAATAAAGCAGTTACATGGTTTGAAAAACAGGTCAAAGAGGCCATCTATGTCAAAATTGAACAGCCCTCTTTCAACAGGGTGGGGGGAATATCCCACCATCTATCTCCAGTCTAGCACACAGTCTCTTCAACAGTTTCAACAATGCTCCACACCCATTTGCACTACTCAGATGACCCTGAGGACACAGATAAACCTCCACCTGGCCTGAAAGACTGACTAAAACAGTGCAAATGACCAGTTGTCTGCAAGGAGTATAAATACTTACATTCCCCACCATCCATCCACCAACAAATAACCACGTATATACTATTACATAACCAACGTCATATTATATTGTTAAATGTTTACATCAATTCATCTTACCATCAACTCCCAAAAACAATTATTGGCTCTTCTGCTCTCCATAAACCATATTTGTACCCTATCCATCACTTTCTTCTCCCTCTTTCCTCCTCCTTACCCTTAATTGTCTTTAAATAACAATCCTTACTGTTCAATGTTCATTACAATTCCATTAATCTACTATATAGAATGGTACACATCTCACTTTGTTCACCATCGTAGGAGTTCTATATGTGTCCATATTTCATATAACCTATGCTTAATTGTCCTTTCATTGTCATATTAAATCAACTCAGTTTAATTATCATTTATAAAAGTGAATCACATACCTCTACTTTACATTCTCTACATAACCATTTCATATTTGTCCATATTCCATACACTTTAACCTTTATTTAATTATCTTTCCATTATCATATTCAATCAGTTAATTTTATTATCCTATATAGGAGTAAACCACATATCTCAGCTTTATGTTTCCCATGTAACAATTTCTAACTGTCTGATTTTTTCCTAGTAAGTCTTTGTCCCACTTCTCTGTTCCTGTTTTTTCCCTTTTCTTTGTTTTGACGTGCCCACCCTCTTCAATTTTCCCCAAGCCACTGTCAAACCCAGTGAAATCTTTTGTATTTCTCTTTGTTGGGGTGTAAGCCTCCTCTTCACTTTTCCCTATGCCACTGTCAATCTAAGTGAGAACTGTTATCTGCTTTTTATTTCCTTTTGTTGGGACACATCCCCCCCTTTTCAATTTTCCCTATACCACTGTCAAACACAATGAAGTTTTTTGTCTGCTTTTTATTTTTCACCGTTTCTACCCCTTCATTATCCATCCTCTTCTTCCTTCACTTCTTCCTTTACTTCCTGCTTCTCCTCAATATCTAACTTCAAAATTCTATTTAGACTTGATTTTAACTATTTATGCATATTTTTTTATAATTTCATGTAGTTCTTCAAATTCCCACCTTTCCATAACGTCCAGTTCCAAAATTACAGTTAGTTATGCAATTCTTATTTCAGAGTTCTGGTCCACCTTAAATTTAGCTAGTTCAGCTGATGTAGAGAGGAAGAGAGGTAGGAGCCATCTTGATCCTTTTTCTTTCTTTGGCAAAAAAAAAACATTCATACTTTTCCAGCTCTTGATTTTACACCCCCCTTGTTACCTTAATCTCCAGTTCCAAATTTACAGTTAGTTGTACAATTCTTATTTCAGAGTTCCACCTTAAATTTAGCTAATTCAGCTAATGTGAAGCGGAAGAGAGGCTGGAGCCATCTTGATCTTTTGTTCTCCCTTTGGAAAAAAAAGCTTTGTATTTTTCTGGTTCTTGATTTTATTATTTTTTCCCCTAGTTACCTTCCACCTCTCATTGGTTATAGTTGTTCAAAATATATTAATTGGAACAAACTCAAATACAGCAAATCTCCAGTATGTTTCTCTTCGCCTCCTGCTTTTCCAAATTCTGATTTATGGCAATTGGTTAATTAAAACTTCCTGTTCAGAGTTTTGCATTCCATTCGCCGCACAGGCAAGATTAGGTTATCAGTGAGAAAATAGTGCTTTTTTCTTGATTCCCCCCTCCTTGTTACATTCCATCTCTCATTAATTGCAGTTGTTTAAGATATTTGGAAGAAAGTTGAACGAAGCAAATCTCCTCAGTATGTTTTGGTTTCCGTTTCACTCTCTTAGTCTCTTTTAAAAACACATTTTAAATCCAAATTTAAAGTTTGTGTTCATCACTTCTCTGCTTTCTCCTTTCTATCCAAATTGTTTAAAGCAAATGGCTCTTTTGGGCTAGTGATTCAACCCTCCATTTTTCCCCTTCTTTCTTTCTTTTTGCCAAAATCCCGATTTGTCAATCAATATTATTTATACTCTCAAGGTTCTTTGCCTTTTCCAAATTCTGATTTATGACTGTGGGTTAATTAGATCTTCTTACCAGGCTTTCATCTCATGTCTTGCACACTCCTGCTCAGTTGCTTTAGCCTGAAGCCAGCTTTTTGTGCAGCCAATTCAGACGGCAAATCTCCAATTTACGAGGGACCCGTTGCACTCCATCTGGGTCTGATGAGATGCTGCCCCTTCTTCACCCCCCTTACAGGGAGGTTCTGATCCAAAAAGGATCTCAGCACTGGTTTGTCAGACAGAGTTCATGCGAGACACTTCAGAGCTCATACCCCCTCATCTGTCCAGAGGAGAACTTATGGTCAAATCCCACCAATTAATTGCTTTGTCAGGAAATTTCCCCTTAGTTCTAGGTTGACTCTCTTTTTAATGAGCTTCCACCCATTGCTTCTTGTCCTGCCTTCAGGTGCTTTGGAGAATAAGTCGATCCCTGCCCCCTTCTCCATGAAAGCCTCTCAATCACTGGAAGATTGCTATCATTCATCAATAGTCCTTCTTTTTGTTAGACCAGTTCCTGCAATTGTTCCTTTAGCTTCCAATCCCCTAACAATTTTTTGTTGCTCTTCTCTGTACTCTTTCTAGAATCTCAGCATCTTTTTCCTATCATGGTAACCAGAACTGAATGCAATATTCTAAGTGCAGTATAACACAGCACAATCACTTCAAATGATTTTGATATTATCCCTTTGTTCATGCAACCTAGGTTTGCATTGGCTTTTTTTGGCAGCTGAAGGACAATGCTAGCTCATAAGTTAATACTATTTATGAGTTATGTATCACCTATATCATTGCATTTGAGATTTTTTGCTGGCTAAGAGCTTACATTTTATACTACTGAATTAAATTTTGTTGGATACAGCCCAGTGTTCAAAGCTATCAAGATCTGTCTGTATATTGAATCCATCCCGCCAGCTTGCTATATACAAATCTGATGAGTTTCTCCTCTATCACCTCATCTAAATCTTTTTATGAAAAAAGTATTTGATAGCTTGGAAAGACTTTCTCCCTTCAGAAACTGAATAGGTCCCAACCTATTAGGGCCTCCAAACTCTGAAAAATTCCATGATCGATATCCAGATAAACCTCATTCAACTGTTCGCTAACTTACACATTTTGTGTGTATCTCCCTGTCCTCCTCTTCTTCTTTTTGCATGGCTAACATTTCTATCACAAGGGGGTCGGGGAGGATGTAAGGGCAATAAAGCTATGTGTGTATGTGATAAGAAAAGGGGGGGAATGATAGGTGATAAAGGCCGGAACAGCCTGGATCCAGTTTGTACCAGCAACCTTGAGGGATAGGACGAATTCTACAATTTCTATTCCCTTCAGGGCAGTCTCATAGTTTTGCTGTGGTGGTTTCACTGATTTTTTTTTTTTTGCGGGACTATGAGTTGCCTTTTGTGTTGGGCTTGCAGCTCAGCAGTTGGCAGCTCAATGCCCCTTCTTCCCACAAGTAAAACAACCAGTGGATCATCAACATGGGCTCTGCTCATGTGACTGTGGTTTTACAGCCTCTTTCTTTTCAGGGAGGGATCTTCACCACCCACGGCTTGGTTGGTATATGGATCAAGCAGGTTGATTTCCACTTCCTCTGCTAGCACATACCAGCCACGGAGGGGTGTGTGTGTGGAAATACAGTTGTTGTAGTCCTTGTCATTTAGCCCATCTCAGAAACATCCGATCAAGATGTCTTCTGGCCAGGTAGGCAGTTGCCAGGCCAGGTTGTGAAACTCCCAGGTGTACTTGGCCACTCTCTGCACCCTTGGATGATGATTTTTAAGCAGGCTCTGGCTTTACGATTGACTATCAAAGTCTTTGAAGCACTTATGAAGTGCGGTCATGAAGTGGTCAAAATTTCTCAGCTCTGGGGCATCATCATTGAGGAAGGTGATTATCCATTCCGCTGTGGTCTCCTCCAATGCCAAGGTCATGCACCACACCTTAGTATCTTCGGTGGTGTATTTCTGGACCATACTCTTACAAGTATGTCCAAACCTGCACCAGGAAGAATCCAAATGCTTGGAATCTCCATCGAATTTTACTCTCAGGGCTGATGTCTTGCGTCCTCTCCACCATGCTGGTGCTTCCCCTGTAGCTGGTGCAGGCTGGGTTATGGACCAGGTGTTGGGGCCTTTACTGCTGCTGGGAGGCTGGATGCAGCTACTATTGTGGCAGCAGAGGGAGTTGCCCCATTATTCACTGTGGCTGGATTGGCTGGTCAGTGGGGTGCACTGCCCGGATTAGGACCTCTTGTGCTTTGAGGTTACCAAAAGCCCATTCAGGAACTTTATGACTTGCTCCAATATCTAGTCCTCTCATTCCAGCTCATAGCACATGATTGGTCCTCCAGTTCCTCCAGCTCCATTTGCAACTCTTGCTGGTGGCTACCAGGTCCCCCAAGGATGAATGTCATTTCCATGAGTTTCTCTTCCCATTCTTCCTTTTTCTGATCCTGAGGGACCTTGATGGGTTGTCCTCTTCTAGCCACTCAGATAATTCTAACCCTCCAGGAGATGGTTTCGAGGATGCCTCTCCCCAGGCTTCGACCTCTTCCTGGTTGGTTCTTTGAATTAACATAGTTTGCATGCTCCCCATGATAAAGGCAATTTTTTCTCTGGGTTTACTACAACTGAAGACTCACCTAATTTCACACCTGCCCCAACCTGATCTCTTGGGAAAGAAATACTATTTGATTAAAGTAAATGGTTCTTTTACTAAAGGTATTGACTGCAGTAAAGTCAGGCTAGCTCTGAATTTTCCTGCACTCAAAAGATACAGAAACACCCCCTGCCCAACCCTCCCCACATGAGCAGTCCATTTTCAGCCAATCAGAACTTACAAAAATATTTTGAAAACATTGAGACATTTGGGGAAAATCTGCATATTTTCTCAGGGTGCCTGGGCTTGGGATGCTGGTACAAACCAGATCCAGGCTGCTCTGGTGTTTATCACCTGTCATTCCTCCTCCCTATTTCTCCTTCTCTCTCTCTCCCTCCCTCCCTCCCTCACTCTCCCCCCCTCTCTCTCACACACACCTTTATTGCCCTTACATCTCACCTCCCTTTTTTTTCTTAGCCTTTGATGGCAGGATGCCTATGAGGCACCAAGCTGAATCAGGCAGAACTGACAGATTGATTGAGAACACACATAGACTCACATGTAAAACCTTTGGTGCATGGCAGATAAAAGAATAGATGGAGAGGATGTTCTTTCCAATTCTGCAATTCTTGTTTATGTTTTGGATTAACACCAATTTCATAACTGACATAACTTATCTTTATTGTTTTAGCATGTTAGGATAGCACATGAATTTAAGGACATGGTGCTAGAAGATGATCGATTTGAAATTTGTGCTGATGTCATACTGGGGTTGGTATGCTTCCGATTAAAGGTAAATGTGGATAATTTTTCAATTCCTATAACCCTTGCTTTGTTTTAACACTTTGCTTGTACAATAATTTGTAGGTAATCAGAGTTTCTTAATGAGAGCTAAAGCTAAAGCAGATATTTCTATTGTCTGACTTGTGTATATTTTGATTTATAGGATTAATGTAACGTTCATACAGTTTAATTAATCAGTTTTTATATTTAATCACTAATTGAATATTTGGATTTCTCAGATCTCTGTAGAATGCTTATCTTAGTTATTTCTAAAAGCTTATTTTACACTTCAAAGACAATTGTATTAGTCTTTATGACATTCTTTTTGCTTTTTTTTTTGAAATGTCTTAAATATACTTGGTGATCAGAGCTTTTCCAGATGGCTGATGTCAAAACTATGAAAAACTGCAGCACCTTCTTTAGATGAGTGAAATTGTTATCAGTCATGAGTGAGGCTTTTCTATATTTTCAGCACTGATTGAGTATGAGTTTTTATAGAATGTTTCCAGTACTCTTAAAAATATAATCAGCTTTCTTAATACCAATTATGACAAGGAAGATCAAAAAACATCCCTTAGACACAGTGACCCTTAACCAATTTTTTTTTCATTTTGAGAGATAATAGTGTGTGATCATTAGCTTATTGCTTGAGTAGTGACACACTAAGATTTTATATGATTAAACAGGTGAATACAGTTTATAAAAAGCAAAGAAAATTAAGGAAATTAACCTTTCGACTGCCCTCATTATTAAACAAAGCAGCTTTTTCCCCCCTGGCATGCTAGATATCCTTCTTTTATGCAATTTTCTATTAAATCCAAGGCAATATACATGCACTATATTGTCAAAAGTATTCGCTCACCCATCTACATAATCAGACTCAGTTGTGAGCGAATACATGTTATAAAAAAATTTCCCTCTATAAGAAAACATTTTGATGGGAAAGGTGAAATAAAACAATTAGATTGAAGAATGTGGAATGGATAGTACCACTACCAGAGAAATTTCCAGTTGACTGGCCAACAGCACAAAGTGGCTAGTCCTCAATGGAACTGTATTTATGTGGAGGGAAGCATGTAGTGGGGTACCTCATGGTACTGTCTTGGGCCCATTTAGATCTCTATAAATGATGTAGATGAGTGGATTGAAGAGATGCTCATCAAATCTGTGGATGACATAAAGTTGGAGGAAATCACTAACACTTTAGAAGGTAGACTTAAGATACAGACGGATCTTGACTGAGTTGAATTGTTATCCAACAAAATGCAGTTCAGTGATGAGAAAGATAAGGCCCTATACATAGGAAAGGAAAACAGTAGCACCTGGCTCAATAGTAGCATCTGTGAGAAGGATCACTGCTTAAGTATGATTCTGAATTGGATGCCTAATTTCTGCTTGGAGAGCAGAGATTAGAGACTTTAGATAGATAATCTGTCCATGTAGAGTAGTAATTTGTCCAAAGGAAGAAAACATCTTTCACGAACTTTGTTGCTCTCCTCTCATTTATCTTCTTCTATACCTAAACCTAGGCATTTCATTTGCATTATAAAACATATGCAAATCATTCTTTCTATGGGGAATAATACCATTTTACACAGCAGTCTTGAGACCACACCTGCTGTCCAGTTCTGATTATTATTATTATTTATTGAATTTATAGGCCACCCAATCCCGAAGGACTCCTGATCACCACAATACAGAAAAAAATGCTGAGGCCCTAGAAAGAGTGCAGAGTAACACAGATTATTAGGAATCTGCAGAATACATTATATGAGGAATGATTAAGGAAACTAGCTATGTGCACATGATAGCTGTCTTTTGGTACACAAAGGGTTGCCACAGACATATGGGTGTCAACTTATTCCCCAAAATACCTGAGGGTAGGACAAGAAGTAATTGGATGGAAACTCACTAAAGAGAGATGCAACCTGGAACTAAAGAGAAACTTCCTGACAGTGAGAACAATTAACTGATGGAACAGCTTGTCTAGACATGGGTTGGGCTAAGAGACTGTGTGTGTGTGTGTGTGTGTGTGTGTGTGTGTGTGTGTGTGTGTGTGTGTGTGTGTGTGTGTGTATGTATGTATGTACAGCAAATAAATATGTATGTATGTATGTATGTATGTATGTATGTATGTATGTATGTATTTTCAGTAAATATGTAATGCATTGTGCAATGACACTGCAATTGAAAAAAAATCACAATTGAATAGAATTTACTTTATATTACTATTTGTAGAATATAAAAAAGTAGATATGTTGCAGTGGTTTCCATTGCTGATGCTATAATTTAGACTTGCCTTTCACATTTCCTCTAAGAATCTAGTGAGGTTTATATACTATTCTTTCCACCAGTTTTTTCCTCCAGGAGCAACCCTATGAAATGGGTTGATATAAAAACAGTGCCTAGCCAAAAGGCCTGCTGGATCTGAATCTTCCTATATCCTAGTTTATTCAGCATTATACCACAGTCTTTTTTATTTACTAGTGGAGATTGAAATTTGTATTTATTGAATAAAATTATATTTATGTGTGCTTGGAAGAAGCAAGATTCCCTGCAAAGTTGAAGGTCTGCTATTGAATATATGTACAAAAGGATATTCTGCTTAATTTGTTTTTATAAGATACTATCATAATAAGCTCCTTTTAAAATGAATGGAGTGAAACTGTGGCATGAATTTGGAGTGCACCAAATTATTTAGAGCAGTAATCTACACAAATTATATATGGATGTAATTTGAGAATATTTTCTCAGGACAAATTCAACCATAGTTTCAACAGGGTAATTGTGAGCATCCTAGACCAAGCTAAATTAAAAAAAAATGCTACAGAATTCCTGGAAACTTGGCTTTCAGAGAAATCAGATATCAACAGACACAGAAATCACATTTACACACCATCCAAAAGAGACAATAGAATATCTAAGAAGATACAAAAAGATCACAAGACATCCTCTCCAGCAGCCTATCCTGAGATAAGCAGGGATTAACAGGGAACAAACCTCACATTCGTTTGCACCACAGACATTAAATCATTGACAGCCTCTCAGCATCATAATGCCCCCTTGTGTCCAGGGGTTATATGATGCTGAAGAGTCAGTACTCTTGAATTTAAACATTCAACAATTTATCTGATATACTTATACATTTTATATTAAAGGATCATCAAATAGTTTGCAATAAAAACAGCAACAGAATTCATAATAAACCAAATTAATTAAATCAACATAAAATAACATTCAGTAAAACCTATTCATTAAAAAATAGGATTGTAAAGAGGCAGAGGCTAGGAGTTGATATTTCTAGTCTTGGATATCTCTTGAACTCCATTGACAACAACAGCAATAGCAATAGCTGTTAGACTTATATACCGCTTCATAGGGCTTTCAGCCCTCTTTAAGTGGTTTACAGAGTCAGCATATTGCCCATACAGTCTGGGTCCTCATTTCACCCACCTCGGAAGGATGGAAGGCTGAGTCAACCTTGAGCCAGTGAGATTTGAACCGCCGAACTGCAGATAGCAGTCAGCTGAAGTGGCCTGCAATACTGCATTCTAACCACTGTGCCACCTCGGCTCTATAAGACGTTTCTTATATACAATTGAGTCCTGTTGAAGTTCACTTACTTGTGTGCTTACTGGATGTGCTGCTGCAAATAAAAAAACTCTGATTTTTTAAAAATCTTATATCCCATTTTGTTTTGCTCTCTTCATCACTCCACTATATATTGTCTTCCCTAATATACTCTTCCATATTCTGTCTCTGATGTATCAGCCCTCAAATTATGACTGAACAAATATGAATAACCCTGATTGTTCTTTGGAAGGACAGATACTGAAACAGAAATACTTTGGCCACCAAATGAGAAGACTCATAGGAAAAGACCCTGATGTTGAGAAAGATTGAGGGCAAAATGAAAAAGGGATGACAGAGAATGAGGTGGTTAGATAGCGTCAT